CTTGCCAGTAATCTCTGGTCAACCACCCCTACCCCAAGATGTAAGTCACCTGATCCATACATAAGCAAGATCAGATATCAATGCCTGTTAGTATTTCTGCAATCATACTCTTTGGGGGAGATTTACTAAAACTGGAGAATGCTAAATCTGTTACAGCTCTGCATAGAAACCAATCAGCTTCCAGGTTTAACTGTCAAAGCTTAACTGAACACGCTGAAGTTACAAGCTGATTGGCTACCATGCACAGCTGCACCAGATTTTGCACTCTCCAGTTTTAGTAAATCAACCTCTATATGTCCAATAAGAAAACATTACTCATTTCACAGTATCAACACATTTGATCCACTGAACTGTAGTGGACAATCTTGATAACATATTGTCCAGTAGGTTATATTTTAAACAGAATACAGATAACAAAAACAATTCTGCACAATACGAAAGCCAAAACAGCAAGGGGAAAAAAAAAAAAAATAGCTAAAAATATCTATCACTTTTTTAATATAATTTTTTTATAAGTCTAGTGGATTTGGAAGCAAAAAAAAAGGTATCCTTGTGTAAAGACTTTAAATACCCGTTCACATTACGCGTAGCGGGAACTTCGCACGTTTGTTAGCGCAATTCTCTCGCAGAAATGCATGTTGCACATAGTGTAGCCCATTCACTTGAATGGGCTACACTATGTACAACTGTTGCTCAAAAGAAGCTCAGAGACCAATTTTTGGCCCTCACCAGGAGCAATTTTGCATTAGCATTTTGCCACAGGCAAAACACAAAATGATGACCAATCTGCTACCATTTGCCAAACTACATGAACCTGCTGAATGCCTTTTTCTAGGTATCAGCAAATGCATTGATAGTTCAGACCCCAAAAAAATGGCATCTTCCCTCACCCCATCATCTAAGGCCTCCCACTGCTGCAAACTTCAATCAGAACCAATGAGGATGACCTTAATTTAAACTTTTAGTTGGGGGAGCGGTAAAACCATGCAATCAAGACGCATCTTGACAACTCCCCTTTTAGCTGCAAAGGCAGCAGTGGGGGTGTACACATGCTTCAGCTGCATAACTTTACGGCTAGAAATATACCCCATTTGGCACTACCACCCATCTTGTGTGTTCCATTCAAATAAATGGGGCTGAGCTGCAAACACCCTGCAGCTGCATGCATTGAAGGGGGTTATCCACTTATCAACTACACACTGTAGCTTTACTGCTACAGTATGGGCCCGCTGTGCAAAGTCACATATATACACGACTTTGAATTCCGCGCGTGTGCGCCGTCTACCCATGCTGTCACTGGCTCCCTGACATGCCTATCTACCCATGCTGTCACTGGCTCCCTGACATGCCTATCTACCCACGCTGTCACTGGCTCCCTGACATGCCTATCTACCCACGCTGTCACTGGCTCCCTGACATGCCTATCTACCCACGCTGTCACTGGCTCCCTGACATGCCTATCTACCCACGCTGTCACTGGCTCCCTGACATACCAATCAATGATTCATAGCCGGGACCCACCAATAATCTGGGCTAGTGACAGGCGAGAGATCTGTGTTGGTAATCAACACAGATCTCTCAACTGACAGCAGGGATGTGCTGGTTTTTGTCTCCCTGTTGTCACATCCCCTAGTAAAACCATACACACATCTAGTTAGGCAGTTAACCCCTTTGATTGCCCCAGATGTTAACACCTTCCTGCCCAGTGTAAGTGCATTTTTATTAGCACTGATCACTGTATTAGTGTCACTGGTGATGTAAGTGTCAGATTGCCCGCTGTATTATCACAGTCCTACCATAAGTCACTGATCACTGCCATTACTATTTAAAAAAAAAAATCCAGTATATAGACACACACTCATTTGTAGATGCTAAAATTTTCATGCAAACCAATATATACTTATTGGGATTTTTTTTTTTTTTAGTAAAGACATGTACAGAATATATGTTGGCCTAAATTTATGAAGAAAATTTTTTTTATGGGATGTTTTATAGCACAAAAATTTTTTTTTTTCAAAACGTTCAGTCTTTCATTTATAGTGCAAAAAAAACAAAAAAAAAACAGTTGCGATTAAAATACCAACAAAAGAAAGCTCTATTTGTGTTAAAAAAAAAAGATATAAATTTAATCTGTATGCAGCGTTGCATGACGGCACAGTTGTCCGTTAAAGAAGCACAGAGCCGTATAGCAAAGAATGGCCTGGCCATGAAAGGGGTAAAATCTTCCAGTGGGCAAGTGGTTAAAACAGGTAGTGAGAAGGTGATACAATGCCTCCTCACTGCCTGTAAAATACTCTCTGAAGAGCTATCCAAATGGGGCTCACAACCAGGCCTCACAGGGCTGTCAACACCGATTTGTCTGTCTAAGGTGCAGGCTTTGCAGTTGAGTTTCCATACTGGTACAAGCATGCAGCCAGTGAAATGTCAGGCCACGGATACCCTTAAAGTAACTCCAAAGCAATGACTTACCATGGCTGAGGATGACAGCCTTAAATATATAGCACCAGCATTCTTCACACGGCCAAAGATAATAGGGGGGCTGGGTTGTGTTTCTACCACTTCTCTGACCTGCCCATCAACGCCACTCAACTGTTAACTTGCTCCCGGCAGCCCTATAGTAGAACTACTGCTACAGGGCAGCAGGGCTGGGCGAAACCATGTATAGATATGGGATTCTGCATTTTCAGGTAGGGGGAGCGCCGCTCTACCCGCGCCACCATTGGCAGCTACAGCTGTTGATCACTGGGTACCGGATGAAGACTCCCCGCCGGCACCCGGTGATCACTGACAGGAGAGAGGTCTGTATGTAAACAATATAGATCTCTCCCCTGTCAGCTCTGACATGCTGACTAACAGAGCAATACAAAGCAGCATGTTTCCCCAAGTAAAACGCACAGCACACAGTAAAAACATACACAGTTAACCCTTAGATCGACCCCTTCCTGCCCAGTGCCATTAGTACAGTGTCAGTGCTTTTTTATTAGCACTGACCACTGTATTAGTGTCAGTGGGGATGTCAGTGGCAGTTAATCAGTTCCCCCCCCCAGTGTAAGAACGCCCACCTCAGTCCCGCTACAAGTCACTGATATTATTAGTATAAATTCCAGTATATATACCCCTCCATTTGTAGATGCTATAACTTTCATGTAAACAAATTAAATATTGGAATTTTTTTTTTTTTTTTTTTTAGCAAAGACATATAGCAGAATACATTTTGGCCTAAATTTATGACAATATGCGTTTTTCATTTTTTTTTTACTGGATAAATTTTATAGCAAAAAGTCAAAAATATATTTTTTCTAAATTTTCTTTTTTGTTTATAGCGCAAAAAATAAAAAATGCAAAAAAAATACCACTGACAAATCTCTATTTCTGGGGGGAAAAAAAAAGAAAAAAAAAAAAAAAGACATTAATTTCATTTGGGTGCGGCGTCACATGACCGAACAATTGTCAGTTAAAGTAACACAGTGCTGTATTGAAAAAAATGGCCTGGTCAGGAGGGGGGGGGGGGGGGGTAAATCCTCTGGAGGGCAAGTGGTTAAAGTTACTCCAAAGCACTGACTTACCATGGTTGAGGATGACCACCTCAAAGGTGTATAGCCCCAGCATTCTTCACACGGCCAAAGATAATAGGGGCTGGGTTGTGTTTTTACCACTTCTCTGACCTGCCTATCAATGCCACTCACAACTGTTAAAACAGGGGGAGAGGATGGAGGTGTACACGCGGCAGCATTAGGGCACATGCAGTCCAGTGCGTTTTTAACATGCAACAAAAAGTGTTGTCAAAGTAGTACAAAGGCACTACTGTAGTTCACACCAGTGCACTCAACAAAAGCAGAACATGCTGCATTTTTTTCTGTATAGAGCTGGAATGCGGCAAAATGCACCAAAACACAGATGAAAAAGGGAGAGAAAAAAAAAGGGGAAAAAAAGGCACCAGAATGCATCAAAAACGCACATGCAGAAATGCATCCAAAATGCAGAAATTGTGGTAGGAACGAGCCCTTAGTGGTGAAGTGAGGCAAGAATAGGTGCCTGCAGGGTTCAGTAGACATCCCTCCTAGATTGTAAGCTCGAAAGAGCAGGGCCCTCGATCCCCTCATGTTTTGCATTGTATTGGTATTGTTCTGTCACATGTTCTGTCCCCCTTTGTAATGTACAGCGCTGAGCGAACCATTGGCGCTATATACTGTATAATAATAATTGATGTTATCAAGCCAATCCACTCATGGCTACTGAAATATACTGTAAACCCACCTATGGCGACTAGTTTAAGATGCGGCTGCAAAATGTCAAAAATTATCACTTCCAATCAGGGGCAGCTAGACAACTCATGGGGCCCCCGGGCAATAGGGGATCATGGGGCCCCTGTGTCCTCGCTCACACCCAAAAAAGCCTATGAAAAAGCCCATGAACGGTACCAGGGGCATCTCATGGGGCCCCCTACTGACCCCGGGCAGTGCCCGAGTGCTCGAATGGTCAGTCCTCCCCTGCTTCCAATTTTATGACCATTGAAAAGAGTGTGGCTTGAACTCCTGAGCAAGGTGTCTGAACAACTTGAGGCTGCTTTAGAACACATTGCCTGTGTCAACTTGGCCTTCTAGCCTGATGAGCTGCTTTCAATGGTCCTCCTGCATTCTCTGGGATATTCTGAGTGACAGCGGGCCCCTCTACCTTGTGGGTGGAGCCAGGACTCCGCTGTCTGGGGGCCCCACACCAATACAAGACATGGGCTCATTCAAGTTAATGCCAACAAACACAAGGTCACTGGCTGGGGAAAGTGGGGTGGACTCTGATCCTTGGTGGAGTCTTCTGTAGTGAGGCAGGACTGATACCCATCTTTCCATTAACTGTTATATAAGTCCACCCTATAGCAGAAATACTGCTGCAGGGTGGACTCTGCCCAAAATCACGTATATATACACGTGATTTTGCGTTTCCAGGTAAGGGGCACAAGCCGCCATTGGCAGCCTCAGGTGTCAATCACTGAGTCCTGGCCAAAGATTTCCTGCCGGCACCCAGCTATCGTTGACTATCACTGATGGGAGAGAGGTCTGTATGTAAACAACACTCCCCTGCCAGCACCAGCACACTGCTTTGTATGGCTCTGCATAGCAGAGCCACACAAAGCAGTGTGCTTACAGTGAAGTACACAGTTAACCCTTTGATTGCCCCACATTAACCCCTTCCTGCCCAGTGTCATTAGTACAGTGTCAGTGCTTTTTATTAGCATTGATCACTGCATTGGTGTCACTGGGGATATCCGTGACAACACATCAGTTCCCCCCCAGTGTCAGAATGCCCTCCGCAGTCTCGCTATAAATCACTGATACTGGTTAAAAAAAAAAAAACCCCAGTATATATACCGCCATTTGTAGACGCTCTTTCATGTATACCATTTAAATTTACACGTATTGGGATTTGTTTTAGCAAAGGCAAGGCGCAGAATACATTTTGGCCTAAATGTATGGTGAAATTTTAGTTGAATTTTTTTTTACTGGATGTTTTTATAGCAAAAAAAAAATATTCTCAAAATTGTTGGCGTTTTTGTGTTTATAGCGCAAAAAATAAAAAACACACAGGTGATCAAACGCCACCAAAAAAAAAAGCTCTATGCGTGGGGGAAAAAAAAAAAGGACAAATTTAATTTGGGTGCAGTGTTGCATGACCGCACAATTGTCAAAGTAACGCACCATATCGCAAAAAAATGGCCTGGTCAGGAAGGGGGGGGGGGGGGGGGGGGGGGGGTAAATCCTCAGGAGGACAAGGGGTTAATACACAGAAGGCCAATCTGTTACAGTGGCCATACACACTTCAATAAAACCTCCATTTCTTTTGGACAGATCGCTCCCGATAGGAGTTGCTCTAACCAATCACCTGATGGGAAGTTGGGGCTATTCGGCGGATTGGCTCGTTCACATTAGACGGCTCCGACAAGAAGGTCGCAGCATGTGATGCGAGAAGTGCCCGGATCAGAGGTCACACCGGTGGCCATGGCTGCTCCCTATTGGTACAGCAGAAGGCGGGCGCACACACAGATCTGTACACAGGACGAATGTGCCATAGCGGTGGGAGTGGCAGGGACCGTCCACGCCGCAGCAGCAGCACTACCTGTGTGGGGGTGAACACTTGGCCCAGCTCCTCTATGCTCAGCGACCCGTACTTCACACTAAGCGGGTGTGACGGCTTTTCGTCCACCTCATCCAGGGCCAGAGCCCCGCACCACTGGGACACGTCTACCGGCATCCTGCTCTGCGATCGGCGCTGCGCCACTCTCAGCGAGCCCAGCAACACGAGAACGGGGCGGAGCCGCGCACACACGCCCCTGCCTGACGCGCCGCCAATAAGAAAGGAGGGCGTGCGCCGGCGCCGGCTTCCTATTGGCGGACGGAGATCACCCGTGTGATGGTCCAGTCCCCCCGCAGCCTGCGGAGAGTGACGGCTGGGGAAGGAGTCTCACGTGTTCATCCAGACACCATTAGTGTTGTTATTGCCGAGTGGGCGTGGTCTGTGCGGGCTCGGGAGATGCATGGCAAATCAATGGCTGCGCCGAGTGCTCAGCACAAAGCCCTGCGATCGCCCGATCGTTCCATCCACGTAGGACGATGACCTCCCCTTCTATAAAGGCCGATCTGTAATGCTGATCCTCTGGCTTCACTGCTTTGATCCCCAACAAATCTCATTTTCCTGCTCTGCAGTCTTCTGCCAGATCACTGGCGCAGCCAGGGGGTAACAAGATCAGCCTGGTCTAATGTGAGGAGCAGTCGCACTTCTGGAAATGCAGTTTGCCGGGCTGTCATGCTGTTCCAGAAACATCTCTGCTTAATAGTCCTGGCTGTGGCTGCAGTCACACTATAGAGGCCCATCAATGCACACTAAATTCAAACACGTGTGTTGGTGCCGGCCGACATGACGCTTACGAAAGGTGCATGATGACATGTTTGCCACGTGTAGGACAACCTATTGAATGAGCTGCCCTATGCATGTAGCATGACAACGCACATAAAAACATGCATACACTCAGCTCTGGATGTCACCAGCGTTCTTTTCTCAGAGAATAGGTGAAGGAACTCCCCCTTTCTGAGTCCCCGCCTCCGAGGACCATCTCGTATCCACCCCCAACCCACCTCCCAGTACCGCCCTTTTTAGAGAATACAGAACCAAGTATCATTTTGTGGTGCTAAGTAATTTGTATGGAATTTGTTAATAACAAGAAAAGTAGTAAAATAGATCCCCTTCAGACAACAACAATAGACCCCCCAGCAACATTAGATCTCCCCACAATAGACCCCCCAGCAACATTAGATCTTCCCACAACAATAGACCCCCAGCAACATTAGATCTCCCCACAACAGACCCGCAGCAACATTAGATCTTCCCACAACAGACCCCCAGCAACATTAGATCTCCCCACAACAATAGACCCCCCAGCAACATTAGATCTTCCCACAACAATAGACCCCCAGCAACATTAGATCTTCCCACAATAGACCCCCAGCAACATTAGATCTCCCCACAACAATAGACCCCCCAGCAACATTAGATATTCCCACAACAATAGACCCCCCAGCAACATTAGATCTTCCCACAACAATAGACCCCCAGCATCATTAGATCTTCCCACAACAATAGACCCCCTAGCAACATTAGATTTCCCCACAACAGACCCCTCCAGCAACCAAAGATCTTCCCACAACCATAGACGAGAACAAGAACAGCATGGCAGCGCAGAACCGAGTAGTGGCAGGGGATCTCAAAAGGAAAATGTGCACAACCCACCTCCCGATAAGTAGGGGTAAAAAAAATAAACACGGAGGGGAGTTGTTGGGTGAAGATCTGCTTTAAAGTAGAACCATGCTGATCTCCACTCCAGCAATGAGGTGTCCAGGAGCTCCCTGGCTGGCCATTGAAATCTTTATCCAGTCTTTTTCTGGGTTCTGATCTTTGGCTGTTTTGATTGGCTAGGTCAAAATGATGTGCGCACTGTGCAGCTCAATGTACATTGCAAACAAGCAGATAAGAATACTTTAATGCCAACGGGACACGCGAGATTTACTAGAACTGGAGCACAAAAAAAAAAAAACAGGAGCACTCAGAATCTGGAGCAGCTGTGCATGGTAGCCAATCGGCTTCTAACTTCAGCTTGTTTAAGTAAGCTTTGACAATAAGACGCCAGTCACACTTCTACCAGGGGCGAAATGACAACTCATGGGGGTCCCCGGGCAATAGGGGATCATGGGGCCCCAGTGTCCTTGCCCAAACTCAAAAAAGCCTATGAAAAAGGTACCAGGGGCATCTCATGGGGCCCCCTACTGACCCCGGGCCCTCGGGCAGTGCCCGAGTTTACAAGTGGTCAGTCCGCCCCTGACTTCTACGACTCCAAACATGAGCGACTTTGGTGTGCAATTTTGGTGAACCTTTGATGCAACTTTGGATGGGTGTAACTTGTTGACCCTCTGCAATGTCAGACCCACTGTTGCATGTAAAACATTCAGGTACGACTTTCATGCAGCTTTTGAGGGTTAACATTGAAGTCTAAGGCCCTCAAGTTGCATGAAAATCAGACCAAAGTAGTGTACTTTGAAGTCGCTGAGACTTTAAGCTGCACATATATGAATGGTTATCATTGGAAAACATGGGCTTTGACTTGTCATGTGACTTTGATGTCCAAAGTCACATGACAAGTCGCATAAGTGTGAATGGAGTGTAACCTGGAAGCATATTGGTTTCTACGTAGAAATGCACCAGATTTTGCACTCTCAAGTATTAGAAAATAAATCCCATTATGTCTTATCTGCATTAAAAGCCTGTCTGTTCACAAACGTTATTTTTGGGCTCATACACATCGGCATATGCAAGCTTTCTGCAAGGTATGCAGGTTCTTGCAGACAGATAGTAGAAGATCCCGCCTAAATTACTCATGTTTAGATGCATACAGCACTAAGACAGCCCATACATTATGTTTTTTATTCAACCAGCGGGTTGTATGAAAAAAAAAAGATCCAGATGCCCCATTTGCACACTCAATGTAGATGGGGAAATTACTCTGAGGCATTGTTTTCTGACAGTGAAGAGCCATCCCTGCCTTCAGAATACATTGATCAATGCTGCCGGCTATAGCCTGCAGCACTGATTGATCAGCAAGAACCCGACAGACGCAAGTCAATTGGTAGACAATCAGCCCAGCCATGCATGGATCCAAATTCTGCCAGTCCCTGCTGCTGAACTGACCCAATTTGTATCCATTAATAGTTTGTTTTAGACCTGTACAACTCTTCTAATGACATTATGGGGAGGATTTACTAAAACCGGTTCATTCAGGACCTGGTGCAGCTGTACATGGTAGCTAATCAGTTTCTAACATGAGCTTGTACAATTAAGCTTCGACAAAAAAACCTGGAAGCCGATTGGTTTCTATGCAGAGCTGCACCGTGCAGTTTTAGTAAATAACGCCATATGTGTGCATTTGTATACATATTTATATGTTCGACCCTGAACACAGCTGTGTCTCACTTCTTTGTTTGTAGATGCAGCTGTGTATATGGCCCTTTTGATTCCTATAGTGCTGCATTTCGATGCTTACAAAATTATAAGCTGTACGTATCTAAACACCAGTGTAAATGAGCTCTAAAAAGTAACGTTTCACTTTTCTTTTTCACTGTACTTCTGTTTATGTCCTCATTTCTTCATTACATTTGTCTGCATTTCTATCCACCGCAGCTCAGCTGCGGTGCATAGAAATGAATGAAAAGTCACACTCCAGAATAAGCTAGTCTATTCTTAATTGAATCTTGATGTGCCACCCGCTACTGTCCATACACTGATCAGTGGTTGCAGCTGTTTGGCCATAAATGTCCATTACGAACAGCGACTGCCTGTAAAAAATATGGCTGTGGGCAAGCTTCAGGACTGTGCGCGCGTAGCTCAGTGACATCATGGTGCTGCTTGGTGCCTTTTATGAAACAGCAGGACTGGAGGGAAGCTGGGACTTGGGTGCGGCGGAGGAAGAGCCACTGGCCACCAGGACTGTATCGCTGGAGGACTCTGGTGTAGAGGACAGACAGAAGTGGTGATGAGGAGCCACCGGCACCAAGCTGTGTAGACTGGACCTTGTCTGACCGCCCTGCTACACCTGAGCAAGCAATGGA